ATAAGCTCTTAGAAATAATCATACTAGGTTAAAAGATAAGAACATATATTTTGGCTTCTGATACAAATTTCCAGTGCCCTTTATTTAATAGCAACTACGTAATTAATGTCAGTTATTTCAGTTGGTATATGAATTACCCTGTTTTCAGAGCGAGGAAGTCCTGCTGTTCTCATAAAGGTACTTTGTAGATTTTTATTCATTTGAACACTTACCTTGGAATTCTGATCCTCATAAATAATACATTCAGAGAAGTGGAGAAAGGCAATGCATTTTGAGTCAACACAAACGGGCAGCAAGGTAATGTATTCTTTTATCACAGAATATTGAGAAAATGGGAAGACCATAACGGGTATTAATTACTGAGAGGGTTTAAACATGCCCATTAAGTGGGAAATAGGGAAATCTCTTGGTGAATATTAAAGATAGGCCTATTATCTTCTTTCCTCATTTCCTGCTTTTTTTTGGTGGGGTGGGGCGGGGATCAGGGGAAGCTTGTTTTTAATTTATTTATTATAGAATTTACGACTTTCTAACTGTCCATATTTTTTTAACATTTATTTCTCAAAGAATAAATTATCACATTCGTGCCAATTTATGCTTGTATCATGGAATGTTGGGATTTATAGTTTGTTTATAAATAAATTATATAGAGAAACTATAAATCCCAACATTCTGGGATACAAACATAAATATTTATATATAACTATTTATCCACCCCCTTAAAATTGTACATATTTGTTGAATGTTGGTAAAAGCTTTGTCTTCCGGCCTGCTACGGTCAGGATCTGCTGGTCTCTTTGTGCCTCAGCTTTTCCTTTGCCTGAGAACCCGTTATTTAAGCCTTCTTCATTTCATAGGAATTGGTCATTAGCATTTCCTCCCCTTGACTCAGCAGTCTTAGACCTTATAAGTAGAATTTCTGGCCCTATAAATACAATAATGTACCCATAATGGAGAGTACTTTTTTCTTTGTGAGCACTCATGGAAAAGTTACACACACAAAAAAATCTGGAAATTAAAGTCCTTTTCAATTATTTTACATGAACAGCATCATGCAGGCTATGTTATCTAATGTGATGTAATAAGAATATAACTTAATAAGAAAAAGGAAAAGATATATAGGAAGAGGAATTCCAAATCACACATGTAAACAGCTGAATGACAGTAAAAGTAGCACATTATAAATTTATGGGGTGCTGTAAAGTGTTTAAAGCAAATTTATAGTCAAATGCTTGCCCAGAATGGAAGAAAGGCTTAAACTTAATGACCATCAACTTAAAATTTTAAACAGCAGGATTAAAACAGATAAATTAGAATAATGTAGCAAAGAGCAAAATGTAATAAAATTAAAAACAATCATGAAGTAGAGAGGGTCTTCAAAGTCAAATGACAATTGTTTGAAAAGAATAATAGAAGTGATGAACCTCTGTTAAGTTTCAAAATGGGAAAGAAGAAAACATTAAGAATGAAGAAAGACATAACAGATGCTATAAGCATTCAAAGATTAAAAATTTACAACTTGTATAAATACTTTTGAAACTCTTAGATGAAATAAATAATATAAAACTAAGTGCTTACCAAAATCCACTCAAGGAGAGAGAAAAACTGAGTAGTTCTACAACTACAACCAATAAAAAAATTGCTTCATTAGCAAGTATCTTCCCGTACAGAAACATCAGGTTCAAACAGTTTAATAGTTGAGTTCTAAGAACAAATAATTGTCATTTTTTGACAAACTCTTTCAAAGAATAAAAGTATAGCACTTTTCAAGTTAATAAAACCAAACATGAAAAATCCAAGAAAATAAATTTACAGGCTAGTCTCAATAATGAACATTTACATAAAAGGCTAAACAAAGTATAGCTTACTGATGCTTGTATTAGTTTTTTTGTTTTAAAAAAAGTTTATCTCAGGAAAGGAAGACAACTTCACGTTTGTTTTTTATTTTATATGTTTATATATACACATATATACATATGTATGTGATAATGTGATATATATGATATGAACGTATGTTATATAAGTGATATTGTGATGTATATGATGTATGTGTGTTAGGATGTAATGTATATGATATTGTAATGTATATATGAAGAGATATATGTATATATGCACAGTATCTCCTTCATATATGTGTGTATACATACAATATCTCCGTCATATATATTTGTGATATATATTTTTATATATCATATATATATTTTATGCATATATTACATATATACACATTCATATATATTTAATCCTAATATATTTATGTGTGTATCTAATAAAGATGAGAATTTCTTTTACCTGTGAAAGACTATCTACCAAAAACCTAGAGCAATGATAACACTTAGAGATAAAATACTGAAAATATTCCCTTTAAGAAGAAATTCAAGGGAGTGATAAATATAAAATTCAGGATGCTAGCTATGTCAGAGTAGTGAGGGGTGGAGAGGAGAGGAAGAGGAAACCAGGGGCACATAAGGGCTTTCCTAATGCTGTAGTGCATTCCCCATCTTAACCTGAATGGCAGAAATGTTGGTTTTCACTGTACTGTTATTCTTTAACTGAATCTCGTTTTATGGACACTTTAAAAATGTATCATTCTATAAAAATCTTTTAGTGCAGCTGAGCTTGATGGCTCATGCCTGTAATCCCAGCACTTTGGGAGGCCAAAACGATCACAAGGCGAATCACAAGGTCAGGAGATGGAGGCCATCCTAGCCAACATGGTGAAGCCCCAACTCTACTAAAATAAAACAAAAAATTACCTGTGTGTGGTGGCTCATGCCTGTAATCCCAGCTACTTGGGAGGCTGAGGCAGGAGATTAGCTTGAACCCAGGAGCTGGAGGTTGCAGTGAGCTGAGGTAGAGCCACTGCACTCCAACCTTGTGACAGAGCAAGACTCTGTCTAAAAATATGTATGTATGTATGTATGTATGTATGTATGTATATATGTATGAATGGATAGATAAATAGAAGGATAGCTGGATAGATGGAGAGATAGATATAGATATATAAATGCAAAAATGAGAAATGTGCTATAGTGATAAATATTGTAGAATAGTTTTTTAATGTAGTTGTCTGTGAAGACTCAAAGGTAAAAGGTAGTTTTCTGGACGTTCATGGAACCATGAGTGAGCAGGGGGTTTTGCCCATATTCATTGTTACTTGTCTTAATTTATCCAGCAAAGTGGAATTGAAATGCATTTCAGAAGGACCAGGTTATAAGAACAAAGCTTACTTTTCTCTTCGGGTAATCATATATTGCTGAAGGTTGGGAAACACAAATGAACATTTAGTATAATTACTTCCAAAGGATTTTGAAATTATAGGAGAAAACATATTAGTTTAATACACAGAAGTTTTATCCGAAGAATTTTAAAAATCAGCAAATTCTGTGGAAAACTATTAGACTGTTTCCATATGACTATAAAAATCTTTTACTTCAGTTATAAGAAAATGTCTCCCAAGGTTATTAGTCTTCTAAATTTAACTATGTGACACTGAATTAAAAAAAGAGTACATCCTGAGAATCAGCTCCCAGGCTGTTAACCAGATTGCCTGACTATATTCAAGGCTTAAGACTCCACACACTAAATTGAGAATTTTTCTTTATCCCTTACTTTGGTTCTGAATCTATTTTTGTTTTTATTTCTATTTTACTGTTGCTTTATGTAAACCATCTTAATTATATGAAATGGCAGAAAGACTCTTTGCTAACCCCATTCTGGAAGTCTAAAATAGAAATTAAGCTGCTTTTCTTCTCTAATTGAATCTTCTCTTCCCTCTGGCATATGATGTTTCAAAAAAACAGGCTGCATCTAGATGCTAGTTTCTTTAGTCATTGAAATGGTCCCTGCCTTACTGTACACATTTATTATAAATGGTGTGATAGGAGAGCAAGATATCACAATTATTTGTTCAATTTTATTAATACTTACTTTACTGAGTTTACTGTATGTTGTAAGCTTTCTGAATGAGATTTATAAAATAAAATTTAGACAGCTCCATGAAAATGGTGAATTGTTTTGTGTTTTTTTTTTCAAGACAGCATAAGAAAATTGATACTTATTTGTTGATTTATTTTTAACATGAATCTGTATGTTAAATCTCTCTCTCTCTCTCTTTTTTTTTTTCCTCTTCTGGGGTATTTTGCTAAATGGCATTTTCTTGATGCTGTGCTGGGTCTCACTGCATCTGATCTCTCAGAGTTGTGAAAAGTATTGATAAGATTGTTTAATATCAGGTGTGCGCCAGTTAAGTTTGTAAATAAGCTGGAATGAACTGGTCTACAATAAAGACAAGATGCTATTAGTTAAAAGATAAGCCAATAAAACCTGTTATTTTGTTGTGATGATTTTAAAAGCCAGATGTCAACAGACTTATTCCCTTCCCAAGAGAAGGTAGTGGGAAATTAATTACAGAACATTCAGATTCTTATGATGCATATTTATTTCTTTTTGACAGGAGCTTTAAAAGTCATATAAAGTAATAGATCTGAAATAATTATGCTTACTTTAAAAAAATATATAATGTTTAATAAAGACCTCCCAAAAAAAAAAAAAAAAAGACCTCCCAAAAAGAGATGCGATAAAGTCTTGGGTATATAAAAATCATTTTCTGAGAAACTATCTCTTATATAAACAAACCCCTAGCAATTTTTCCCAGCTGCCAGTAAAAATGGTGCTATAATTTGCATTTGAATTAACAAAATAATAGATTTCAGTAGCTACAACTATATTGCTTTACCTTAACCTAAATTCTCATAACGTGCTATGTTTTGTAGTCCAACATGCTAATTTTTTGAACAGCTGAGTAACTATTACAAGCTGTAAAGCTTATTATTCTTTTCCTTGACTGTGCCATCTGCTAGAACAAAAGCAAAGATAAAAAGCTCATTGAGCACCAAAGATTCTGTATTGTTTAATTTGCCTTCTATGGAGACACATCTCCTTGGGGGGAAAAAAATCAATGCTGCATTTTAAGGAACATTTTTGTTACTTCATTACAGATGGGGGACTCAAGGAGATTTTACCACCACCCATCCTCGGCCTGTGGTCAAAGTGAAACTCTTCACAGAAAGCACTGGAGTTCTGGCCCTAGAAGATAAAGAACTGGGAAGGGTGAGTTGTGGTCAGCCCTGTGTGTCCACACGGTAGAACAGTTTTAACTTCTTTGAATTCATGATTAAGGTAGACCAGTATGCAATATGTGAACTTAATGTTCATGAATTACATAAAATCATTTATCATTTCCCAGAAGCCCAACTTATACCTCTAATTTATTAAATCTAATTGTCTGTAACACAAAGTATTGTGATAGGCTTTAGGTGTGTAAGGGGTACATACAAGTTCCTTGTCACCAACTCAGTCATTCTCACACATGCGTTTCACTGGCCATTAAATTTGAGTGGTGCTGGCCAACTTCTTTTTGGTGAAAGGTGATTCTCATGTAACATATTTCTGTTCCTGGGTTCAAAGGATCATCTTTATATTTTAAGTCATCTGTTCTTCATGTTCATTGTGATTAATCACAGAATATCTCCGAAGTGCATCTATCTCTTTTATGTTTTTCATTTTCCTCGAGAAAAGGTCTTTCTCTCACACCTTTTAACATTAATGATTTCTTTCTATAGTCACCTCTTCATACCTAGAATATATTTACCTTCTGATCCCAGTATGCCCTTACTGTACTCAACTTGTGCTGGCAGTAAAGGCATTAACATTAGGTAAATCAGTGTGAAAGGTCATCTTCAGACTTACAAGTGAAGTCAGTGTTCTAACTAAGTAGACTGTATGAAAGTTTCTTCTGTAATGTGAATTTTTAAAAATTTATATATTTATTTTGAGACAGAGTCTCCCTCTGTCATGTAGGCTAGAGTGCAGTGGTATGTACTCGGCTCCCTGCAACCCACCTCCCAGATTCAAGCAGTTCTCATGCCTCAGCCTCCCAAGTAGCAGGGACCACAGGTGCGTGCTACCTTGCCTGGCTAAATTTTGTGTTTTTAGTAGAGACAGGTTTTCACCATCTTGGCCAGACTGGTCTCGAACTTCTGACCTCAAGTGATCTACTCCCATCAGCTGCCCTAAATACTGGGATTACAAGCATGAGCCATCATACCTGTCCTCAGTAATGTGATTCTGTCTTACCCAGACCTGGAGACTATATTCATATATATTTTCCAGAAAATAAAACCTTCAGAAATCTTACTTGAAAATTTCTGGTATTAGTGGACTGCTTGTGCAATGCTAGTAGATGCCAAAGGATGCTAGGATCATTCTGTATACTAGAATTTTTTTAAAAATTGAAGTCAGGATTTCCATTAGTTTCAGACCCTCTTCTTCTACCTCCTTTATACTCTTGGACTTTTTCAATTTCTAGGGATTTTGTAAGTCTGTATCTACACTCCAGCGATTTTGAATCTTCATTCATAATCCAGATTTCATCTTCCGTTTTCTTGGTACATGTATTTGTTAATACCTGAGAGAGTTGTATTATACTGTTCATTCATTCCTGTGCCTATGTATTTGTGCATTTGTTTTCATTCAACAAAGGTCTGCAGATCACATAATCTAATACAAGAGGCTTGGAGGCAACATGTGGTCTTTATGGATTTATTAATCAGGGTTTTTTACTTAAACTGTTGTTATGTTAATTTTAAAGGTAAATTGTTACTTTTCTTATTGTAAAAATATTTCACTATTTAACAGCAGCCATTTTAAAAAGTCTAGTGCTGTAATTCTTGAGTTATTTTTAATTTATTTCTCAGCTGGTCAAATAATAAAGCACTTTTTAAGTTGGATACATAAGTTGACATCTATTTTATGCAATTTCATGTCTGAGAAACTGCTTATGCTCCCTTACTCTCTTCACACTAGAAAAACAACTTTTCTATCTATTACAGTAGATAGAACCTTAGCATTATTGATGTTTTGAGCAGGGTAATTCTTCGTTGTCGGGTGCTTTTCTGTATATTTTATGATATTTGACAGCATCCCTAACCTCCTGAAGAGTGGTAAAAAATCCACCCTGCCTGAGAACCATCGATCTATACTAATGATCTCAATAGATTCCAAGATTATAAGTATCATTTATATCTATTGACTTACAACTTGTTACTATTCTTCTTGTAGATTCAGATTTGTGTATCCGACTTCAGTACTCAGTATTTCCAATTGTATATTGATATCTCAAATCACATATTTTTGAAAGAGAATTTATGACTTGTATCTCATAAAGTCTTCCGTAGAGGCAGTTCTTAAATAATCCTGTGACCTAGACATCTCCCTTATTTCTCTTTTTCACACCCCAGCACCCAATCCATTTGCAACTTTTGTAAGCTTTTTCTGTATTTATTCTGAATCCATCCGTGTATTAATACCACCACTACCCTAATTCAAGGCACCATCATTTCACATAAATAGTCTGTTTGCTATTATCCCATTGATCACTTTGTCCTCTCTGATTTGACCTTCACACCTCAGTCACTATGATCTATTTAAAATTCAAAATAAATCACAACATTCTGTCCTTAAAATATTCCAATGTCTTCAAATTTATTTGGAATAAAAATCAGACTGCTCATTATAGTGTAACAGGCCCAACAGGAGTTCTCAGGTGTGGTCTTGCACCAACAGCATCAGCAGCACCTGGAAAATTGTTAGATATGCAAATTCCCAGGCCCCATTCTAGATCTGCTGAGTCAGAAACCAGTTGCAGGGCTACTGTCTGTTTTAATAAGCCCTCCTACTGATTTTACAATACGCCAAAGTTGGAGAATCCCTAATCTACATGAACCGACTTCTGTATCCAAATTCATTCTCTGTTAAAACCTCCTTGCTTACTGTCATTCTTTCCTTACACCATGCTTGCTTTTTTTTTCCTTAAACATCTTAGACTCATACCTGCTTTAGACTTTAGGTCTTTACATGTGTTTTAATCTGAACATGTGCACACACACAATTGGAAGAAATTAGCATTCATCTCTGGATGCTGGAGCTATTAATAATGTCTTACACACACACACACTCTCTCTCTCTCTCTCTAATTAGAAAAAAATAACTTTTTAAGTTAAAAGAAAAAGCTTTACATGATCTGACATCTGTAGCTTAAAATTTTATGAATAGTAGTACATCTGGGGTGCTTGGATTTTAACATGTTTTTTAAAATTAAAAATTTTTTCGCTTTTAAATTTGAAAATGAACAACAGAGCACTAAAATTGGTTGATACCACAGCAAGATACTACTGTACATCTACTAAAATGGTGAAAATACAGAAAAACTGATGATAACATGCTTGTGGGAAAGTAGAACAGAAACTCTTACTCATTGCTGGTGGCGATGCAAAATTGTACAGCCACTTTGGAAGACAACTTGCCAGTTTTTTGTGTAAAGTTAAACATAGACTTACTACACAATCCAAAAATTGTACTTCTAGGTGTTTACCAAAGGGTTTATGAAGTTTGTGTCTACACAAAAATCTGTGTGTGCGTGTTTAAACAGCTTTATTCTTAATTGCTAAAACATGGAAGCAGCCAAGATGTTCTTTAGTCAGAGAGGAGAGTGAATAAAACCACAGTACATTCATACAATGAAATATTATTCAATGATAGATATAAGCTATTAAATAATTCATGCAGTGGCATATATGAATGTAAATGCAAATAAAAAAGTCAAACCCAAAAGATGACATATTTTATTATTCCATTCATTCTAGAAAATTACAGGGCTAGAAAACAGTTGAGAATTTGCCAGGGATTGAGCTGGGGTGGGTTGTTGGCCAGAAAGGGGGTACACAGGGCACCTGTAGAGTAAAGGAACTGTTCTGTATGGTACTGTGTATTATGTGCTATATTAGCCCATTCTCACACTGTTATGAAGAAATACCTAAGACTAGGTAGTTTATAAAGAAAAGACGTTTAATTGACTCAGTTCTTCATGGCTAGCTAGGGTAACCTCAGGACACACAGTCGTGGTAGAAGGCACCTCTTAACAGAGTGGCAGGAGAGGAAATAAGTGCAAGCAGGGGAAATACCAGACGTTTATAAAACCATCAGCTCAGGCCAGGCACGGTGGCTCACACCTGTAATCCTAGCATTTTGGGAGGCCGAGGCGGGTGGATCACCTGAGGTCAGGAGTTGAAGACCAACCTGGCCAATATGATGAAACCCTGTCTCTACTAAAAATACAAAAAATTAGCTAGGTGTGGTGGTGGGCACCTGTAATCCCAGTTGTTCAGGAGGCTAAGGCAGGAGAATCACTTGAACCTGGGAGGTGGAGTTTTCAGTGAGCTGAAATTGCACCACTGCACTCTGGCCTGGTCAACAGAGTGAGACTCCAACACACACACACGCACACGCACACGCACACGCACACGCACACACACACACACCCCTACGAAATTAGATCTCCTGAGACTCACTATCACAAGAACAGCATCAGGAAACCACCACTGTGATACAGTTACCTCCACCTGGTCTCTCTCCTGACATGTGGAGATTATGGGAATTACATTTCAAGTTGAGATTTGGGTGGGTACACAAAGCCGAACCATATCAGATGCATAATTGTATGTATTTGCCAAAACCTATAGAACTCTATGTTACAAAGAGTGGACATCAATGTATGCAAACTAACATGAACACACACACTCCCCAGTGCATATATCAACCAGGAGCTTTCAAAGGATGCCAACATGGAATACAGACTGAGTCAGATGAAATTAGTTGTACTGTACAGATGTGACATAGCTCCACTGATAGGGGTGATGAGAAAACAAACAGACCTAAGAAACTTAAGGGGAAAACGTGTTGCAGTACTCTCTTGATAACCGAGTGATGAAGATGACCACTACCAGTTATGTCATGTGGATATCCGGTGCTCTCTACTATGATGTTTGGAGAAGGGACATTTTGCCTCTGTGGTATTCTTCCCCCAGTCCCCTCCATAAACCCAGGCTAATCATGAGTAGAACGTCATGAAAATACAGATTGGTGATATTATACAGGATAAATGGCCAGGACTCTTCAAGACTGTCAAGGGCATAAAAAAGGAAAGTGAGAAACTGTCACAGATCAGAGGAGACTAAGGAGTCAAGACAACAAAATGCAGTGTGCTGTCCTGG